GTAAGTATTATATAAGTTGATATTTGTGAAATTCTTAGAGAGCCATGCCCAACAGAGTGTAAGCACTATATATAAATTTGATAACATAACAAAAATCACCATTATTATACATCAGACTTAAGGTAAACTTGATACAACATTGATGGTGATTAGCCATTAGTAGGTATGGTAGGCAGAACTCTAAAATGGCCCCCAAGATTCTGGGCCCCTGGCATTACACATGCCTTCTGCTAGTTATTCAATTAAATGCTAATCTAGGTGCACATTTGAAGGGACTCTGCAGGTGTAAAGAAGGTACTAAATGAGGAGATTGTTCGGGTAGGCCTGCCCCAATCACGCGGGCCCTTCAGAAGCAGAGAGTTTGCTCCAGCTGGTCACAATTAGGAGCACGGGGAGATGCGCTCCATCCATCCTGGAGGAGAACCGGCATCCATGTCATGAACTTCCCATGGAGGGGATGACTGGGCAGGGAAGCGTGGGTGGTCTCTAGGTCCTGAGAGCAGTCCCGAGCTGACAGCTAGCACACATGAAAACAGGGACCCGAGTCCCACGGTGCAAAGAATTGATTTCTGCCCACAAACGGAGACCCCCTGAGCCCTGGGTGAGAACTGTAGCTCAGTGAGAACTGAGTCAATGCCTTGAGTTCAGCCCTGTGAGCCCCTGAGCAGAGAATGCAGTCATGCCATGCCTGGACCTCTGACCTACAGAAACTATGAAATAACAAAATTTATGTTGTTTTAAGCCACTAATGCAATGGAGCAGGACCCTACGGAGCCTTCCTGGGACAGGCCTTCCCCCATATCCTCTGCTTTAGCTCCTTTCTGAAGCACCTAATAGTATTTGATGCTCATTTCCTGAGCTGTGTTGCAGATGTAAAAAAACATCCCCCTGTCTACCAAATGGAAGATGTCCACTACTTGGTGACCATGAGCACACAGTCCCAGGCCCCCTGGAGCCTAAGGACTGATACAGTTCATCCCCGTGACACCACCCTGATACCTCACCACCAGCCAGAGAACTCTGCACAAGCTGATCACACACCCTGCGACCCCACTCCCTCACCTGGCTTTTCAAAGGGCTTTGCCGAAACCCTTCGGCTTTTTAGGGCCTGAGACACCTCTCCTTGCAAGACCTCGTGATAAACGTCTGCTCCAAACTCCGACGTTTCCGTTTCTTTGGCCTCACTCTGTATTGGGCACACCAACTTGGGTTAACACTAAGTTGTTTGCGATCATTTGTCTTGTAGCAGTATAACCCTAATAGAGCCAGAAAGAAGCAAACATACAGAACTTGCAAATGAGCGGCCGGAGGATTTTTGTTCAAAGCCCAGACAGCTTCCTCCTCCCACCCTGGCCAGCACAGATAAAGACTCTTATCACTGACAAAGTCAGTACAAAATACTTCCAGTTCAAAAAAAAAACCTTCATTTGCCACGCTGGGCTTGGTCCCACAGGACAGCGTGGTTCTGTACTCACCAGTGTCACTGACAGAGCGAGGCTGACCCACCTGCTTTAAGAGGCAGCAGGCTTCAGGCCTCCCAAGCTGGCTCCCCTGGCCTGGAGATATCTCTCTCAGGCTCCATCTAAACCTCGAACAGCTGCCCGACCTTACGCCAAGACCTTTGACCTACGTACCTACATACTTGGCTCCACCTCCACTTGCAAGGCATGCTGGGAAACTAAGAAGGGGGTTTTAGGACCCATGAGGCAGCCGTTGCTCAGTTGTATCCGGCTGTTTGCAACCCTGTGGACTGCAGCACGCTGGGCTTTTCTGTCCTTCACCATCTCCTGGAGTTTGCTCAAACTCATGTCCACTGAGGCAGTGATGCCATCCAACCATTTCTTCCTCTGTCGCCCCCGTCTCCTCCTGCCTTCAGTCTTTCCCAGAAGGCAGAGAGTATAATGATTAAGCGCTCTGACTGGACTTCTCTGGCAGTCCAGCAGTTAAGACTTCATGCTGACAATGCAGGGGTCGTGGGTTCGATCCCTGGTCAGGGATTTAAGATCCCATATGCCTTATGGTCAAAATTAAAGAAAAAGGAGCTCTGGCTTCTGTATAAAACTCTGGTTTTGCCTGCTAACTGTGATGTTCTGCAAATTCCTTATGCCCTCAGCACCCCGATCTGTAAAATGGGGATAACAGAGTTGTGAAGGTTGGAGGTAAGACAGAACACTGGTGAGTGGGGCCTAGCCCTAGCAAGCCGTCAAAACGCAAGCTGGTGTTTGGCTGATTTTGATGCTGATCTACACAAGCCCGAAAGCTGGGCGCTCATCAGATCGTAAGTGCCCATCCCCATGCCCCAGGTCAGGCAGCAGACCACATCTTGGTCCCTTGTTTTGGAGCCGAAGTGACTGCTGAATGACTGACCACTCCAGAATGGAACAAGGAGTATCAAACCCTGTCAATCAGCCGCAACATACACACAGAAAGAAAGCAATCGTCCTTCACTGGCCTCTTCTTGCTTTACTTCTTTCATCACAACCTGTGCTGTACCAACTGGTCAGCGTTACTGCTGGATAAAAGTAAGGGAATGTAGTAAAGCAACAATATGAGAGTGGGCTACATGAAATAATGGGAAGTCCTCACTCTTAAAGTAATTAACGTTTTTAAAAGATGGTATCAGGATGCTAAAAATTTACATCCCTCATTCAGGAAGGTGGGGTTCTAGTAAATGTCACTGAACCAGCTTTGATGATGGAATTTATGAGGCTGTGCCAGCCAGATCGTGATGATACAGCTTTCAAAGGTATATGTCACTTATAAATATAACCACATCTAGGCTCATAAAAATAGACTGCCTGTTTAAATAGAAGCTTCTTTCTGAACATTGCTAAGTGAAGTAATTTGTAATTTTCCCAAATTGCAATGAGGGAGGTGGCAGTGGTATTTTCCCCCTTTCTGGAGATGACCATCTACTATATGGATTTGCAGATTGGTTAACTGGCTGGAAGATCTGAGAAGAAAAATGCTGTTCTAGTAATTTTGTACAGTACTGGGTTAAGCTGAGAAGATTTGACTGAGGGAAGATTAACATAAGCGAGAGCCTGTCCAATACATTTTATATGAGAAACCAGGCTATATTTTTAAAAACTAGTGTTTTCAAAAAGAAAACTATCGGCCAGTGCCTTTGGCTCTTTACTTCTTAGCAAATGATTCCCCCGACTAGAGTGCAAGGTCTGGAAAGTCTGTGTCTTTGCCCGTTTCCTTCACTGTTGCTACCCTGGTGCCAAAAATGGCACCTGGCATTGGCTAAGTATGTCCTGAATAAATTAATTAATGAAGTTAAATGAATTAGAAAGTGATACGGTATTGGTGCTCATTTTCTGTCTAAATTCTGAGCAATTAAAAATGTGAACATGATCAGACCAAAAAGGGAAAGAAAAGGAAGGGAGCAGGGAAGGAATGTAAAATCATATTTGAATTTTTGACCATATTGGAAGAGAAGAAGAAAACGCAGTGTGTATGGAATTTATCACTACAAAGTTTTCACTCCTGCATGGAAATTTCCAGAGCCTATGTTGTAAACCATCTTACAATGGGTAGTTTATGACCAGTAACCTTTTTGCTTAAATCATCATGTGGCAGCAGCGCCATCTTCTGGGTAACTAGTTGGGCATTTTAGAATAACAGTCTAGAGTTGTTTTGTTTTTTCATATACCAAATTGAGTTTAGAATCACAGAAGATTACATAGGAAATATCTTTAGAGATCATCTAGGCCATATGTCATCTTACAGGTAAGGATTTGCCTTAAGTGGGTACAATATTTTCTTATTTTCTCTTGATCCAATGGAGCCCCAAATTCATGTCTGGGAGAGAAGACAAACTACAGCCATCATTGCTAAATTATATCACAGGTCTCATATAAATCAGAAACTGAGAAGCAGTTAAAATCCATTTGTCGAGCATCTGAAGAGTGCTGTCCAATAGGAATTTCTGCAACAACGGAGCAATAGAACTTTCTGTGATGATCTATACATGTCTGTGCTGTCCAATATGGTAGTCACTAGCCACTTGAGGTTATTAAACATCTAAAATGAGGCTAATGATGCTGAAGAACTGGATTTTTAACTGTATTTAATTTTAACTAATTTACATTTTTCAAAAGTCACATATGGTGAGTGTAGGGTTTCTCAACCTTGGGACTATTGACATTTGGGGCTTGATCATTCTTTGCTGTGGTGACTGTGTTGTACACTGTACGATGTTTAGCAACAGTCCTAGCCTCTAGTCACTGGCTAGGAGTACCCACCCCCTGAATTTTGCCAAATACCCTCTCTAAGGGGCAAAATCGCCCCTGGTTGAGAACCAGTGGGCTAGTAGCCACTGCAATGAACAGCACAGTTCTAGAATATACCTGATATATATAGAACATTTTGGTTGAGAAAAAGAACTGCCCACTAAGGCAGAAGTGGTCTTATAATAAGAACAAGGAAGGGTTTTTTTTAAAAAAAAAAAGTAAATAAAGTCAGACATAGTCACAGAAATGTCACACTTCTTTAATCTTTTTTCCCCACAAAGTGGAGACAGAGCCAGGATAGTGATACTGGAAAATTCTGCCTCCCTCACAAATCCCCAGGTTAGCATCAGAAAACCTACGCTTGAATCTGGCTGCCTAGCCTCACTGTGGGTAACTAAACAAATTGACCTCCCCAAGTCTTAGGGTGTCACCTAGGGAAGAGGGGAGGAACAGTGCCTACCTGGTGGGGTTGCTCTGGAGACTAAATTAGACGAAGCATAAAGTGTTCTCAGCTCAGTGCTTGGCAAGGTAAGGTATGCAACACCATGGATATCTTAGCCACCCCCTTCCAGGCAAGGGAGATTTTTCATACCCTCCAACCAAAAGCACAAAAGAACCTAGTACAAAGAGTTACAAATAAAAATCTCACTGAAAAAAAAAACTAAGCTGAACTCTATAAACCTGACTTTACTTGAAAATCCCAGTGGTCTCTACGCTCGATAACGTTTGTCTGTTGTCTGTGGCGCCATTCCCTTGACACATTTAAATGTGGAGGAGAAACCGTTTCAGCTCCTCAGGGAGGCTGAGTCCAGTGATCTTATGATGCTGCTGGATCCCAAAGCACTTCCGAATTCTAAGGCGGCATAACTGCATCAAAGAAGAGGGCCCTGGAGAAAGATGATAAGACAAGTCACACATGGGTTTCACTGATCCAAGACTTTTCCTTTCCTTCGTTGAAAGCATAAAAGATTTAGCACTATTAATAATATGGTACTGCTTAAGACCATGTTCTGGGTTTAATAAGAGATATTTTAAGGCCATGGTCTCTCTTTTCTGGTATCTAACTGAAATCAGGCTGTTAGGTTTTGATTTAAAACAAAGAAATGTAAAGCTCGGTCTCACCAATGGAGGCTTATGGAAGCTAACTTTGAAATTACAAAGCTATGAAATCCCCAGCAATGACAGGAAAACCCATGTTTAATGGTTTTCTTGTCTTCACAGTAAAAAAAAAATAAGTCCATATTTCTGGATGCAAATACTCTAATTTTATAATTTAGCAATTTTAAGACATTCAAATATAAGGAGCTATCTGTGAAACCTAAGTGTGATCTGAAGTCATGTTTGTTTTTATATTCTGCATTTAGAACCACCCCAGTGCTTCAGCTCATAGTGGAAAATGAACTAGCACAAACCTTGCACAGATCCAGCCAAGAGTTTACATCCTAAGATAGCAATTCTCAATGGGGCAGGGGGTGGGAGGAGTGTATTTTGCTCCCTAGGGACCCTTGGTACTGTCTGGAGACACTTTTGTTTGTCACAACTTGGGGGGTGGGCTATTAGCATCTAGAGGGTGGACAACAGGGATGCTGCTAAACATGTCCAATGTGCAGAACAGGACTGCCCCCAACTGGCCCAAAATGTAAATAGTGCTGAGCTTGGGAAACCCTATCATAGGGTAAAAGGGTGGGAAATTGTTTCCCAGCCCCAACTCCTGCACTAAATTGTAACAGGAGTTCTCTTTTGATTATTAAAAACATTTTAAAAAGCAAAGCTGTATACCCTAAAGAGGGGCTTCCCTGGTGGCACAGTGGTAAAGAATCTGTCTGCAACGCAGGAGACCTGGGTTCGATCCCTGGGTAGGGAAGATCTCCTGGAGAAGGGGATGGCAACCCACTCCAGTATTCTTGCCTGGAGAATCCCATGGACAGAAGAGCCTAGCGGGCTAGTCTATGGGGTCACAAAGAGTTGTACATGACTAAGCGACTAACACTTTCACTTTCAGGGCTTTCCTGGTGGCTCAGATGGTAAAGAATCCACCTGCAATGCAGGAGACCTGGGTTCAATCCCTGGGTTGGGAAGATCCCCTGGAGAAGGACATGGCAACCCACTCCAGTATTCTTGCCTGGAGAATCCCATGGACAGAGGAGCATGACTGGCTACAGTCCATGGGGTCGCAAAGAGTTGGACACGACTTCGCCACTAAGCATGTATGCACACCTTCAGGAATCCCATAAAGCAGTAGCCCTCACGCCAGACTCTGCGGAGCTGGGGGGATGTTGGGCCCACCCTGAGATGTTGCTTCAACGGCCATCATCAGGTGGGCTAAGCATCTGTATGCATGCATACAGGCATGCACCCCAGGTCATTGTATTGTGTGGCCAGGATTGAGAATGTAACTCAAAGGGTACAGTGGCCTGTGATTTTGATACCAAGCAGGACCCTGTGGGGCTCCTGGGCTTTTACAAAAGCCTATCTGTGTCCCCATTTCTTGATTACAGGAAATAGGCTTCATTAAGCTTCTGAGACCTTCCCTGAGTTCCAAGGAGCAGGTTCAAACAGATGCTAGTTAGGGAAGGAGGGGATCCTGAGACAAGGGAGGAACAATAGTGCAGCCTTGGGCAGGGTCCTGGTCCCCCCTCCAGGGATACACAGAACAATATATTTGAGCTGTTTTACAGATACTGAAACCCCCACCAGGTGGGAGAAGTTAACTGCATGCTGCCCACAGGCACTAGACCCCAGACCTGATGGAACCAGAAGGCTGATGATGCCGACTTCCACTTACCTCACCACCAACCAATCAGAAGAATGTCCACAAGCTGACCACGCCCTCTTTGAACCATTCCTGTAAAACTCCTCACTACTCCCTCTAGGTGGGAACACAGTTTTGAGGGTAGTAGCCCACTGTGACCCCCTTTGCCTGGCAAAGCAATAAAACTATTCTTTTCTGATTGAGCCAAAACTCTGTCTCCAAGATTCAATTCAGTGTGTTGGGCAGGGTACAAAGGCTGGATTAGACTTCAATTTCCTAGAGCATCACTGCAAGCTACAGGATAAACTGGGTTGCATACTTCTCAGGTGATGGAAAACAGAGAGAGATGGAACTAGACACATATACAAGGAAAGAAAGAAAGGAAATATTTTCAATGAGGCCCTCACCACACATTCATAAGGTCACTGTTGGAATTTAGGGCACCTTCCAGATTATGTTCAGTGTACTTAAGGCATATTATTAATGAAGGATTTCCCAGTGTACTTAAAGCACTTATTAACAAACTGCAAAAAGCATAGTGTGGGGAAACTGAACTGAACCTCATCTCACTAAAGCATGTTGAAGGACATGACTAATCACATGTGCTAGATACAATGTCAGGGACAAGTGCAGGAGATACTAATAAATGAGTACAGAGAACAAGACATCAGAGTAAGCCTGATAGAGACTTAGGCAAAGCAGGCCATTGGAGGAAACTCAGCATAACTACCAATGGAAATGGAATATCTGCTATTTACAAGTGGGATGCTGTATAACTAGAGCCTTCATTCCATATAAATAGAGCTGAAAACTCACTAGTGCTTTGTAGCCACTTGTTGGCACCTGCAAATATTCAGGGGGCGTTACTTTACTCCATAATGAAATCGACTAAATCTATATTTACTGATGGGCATATTACTTTGGGGTTCCAGTTCTTTTTTTTCCTGCACCAACACTCACGATGCTTCAAAACCAAAGTGCATTCAAGGTGGCTCCTGTGGTGCTGGGGTGAGAGAGTCCCTATTAGTTGTTGTTGTGTCAACTAATGTCAGGAAAAAACACTGCTTTAGATGCTTTGGCGAGGGAGGGGGTGGTCATATTCTTCAACATCTTTCAAATGTGTGTGTGTCTACATATACGATTTAATGACTTTAGGGGGGCCTGAGGCACTTATGCCTTTGTGGATCTCTTTCTCAATTGAAAAAAAAGATATTTTACAGCTGGTAATTTTACAACTGTGTCTGTATAAGGATGAAAATAATCCAGGTTGAGTTATATTCATTTTTTTCCTTTTGATTTTAAAAGAAATTAAAACATTTCTGTGGACCCCTAAAAAGACAGTGCCACGTATTGTGCCATCTGTGCCTGCTGGAGAAATCTGCCCTGTCTAGATGTAATTTTTTAAAACCAAGAAATTGTCAAAACGTGGGCACAACTGCCCGGTGGTTACCCCACTGCTTCACATAAGGGTTTTCTATTGTTTTGTTCCTTGTTTGCGGGGGGGCCCAAGGCAGGCTATGACCCCCAAGTACCCTGGGGTGATGGGTGTAGGAGGAAGAAGGATTCAGGGGCCACTTTACAATTCTGCCCAGAACCCTAATTCTCAGCATATGGGGAGAAAATAACCACATGACATGATATCAGAATCCTCCTGGTTGGGAAGCCTGCTTCAAACTTCCACAACCTCTAAGACTCAATGAAGTCCATACTCTGGTCAGATAAATAGGTCCTCAGCTGGCTGCTCTCCACCTCCTAAGACAATTAAGACTCTAACACAACATTTTTAGCAACTATACCCCAGTAAAAATTAATTTTAAAAATAAAGTAAAAACTAAAAAATAGAATTTGTATCCACACACAAAAAAAGAATGCAATCTGAAGGGTCTCTGCTCCTTACTCCCAGCCCACCCCCAACACAGGGAAGTGCCTCCACCTCCTTGCACACTGCTCAACCCCAGTGTTTAGTTGTTTGGGTCAGAAGTGTCAGTTTTTATTTATGAAGGTATATGGGCTCAGTGTTGATTTAGTTATAACAGTAAATGTCTTCAGATTGCCATGGATCATGAAAGCAATACTGTGTAATGCTCAATGAGTTGCATTCTTACCCCCTATCTCAGAAGCCTAATGCCCAGTAGTTCACATTAGGACATACTGGGGCTTGTATAACCTCAAAGAGGCTTCTGCCACATCACTCTAAAGCATGGCTTACAAATATCATATGACATCACTTATACGTGGGATCTAAAATAAGACACAATGAGCTTAACTACAAAACAGAAACAGACTCACAGACATAGAGAACAGACTTGTGTTTTCAAGGGGAAGGAGCTTGGGAGAGGGCTAGACTGAGAGTTTAGGGTTAGCAGACGCTAACTGTTATATATAGGATGGACAAAGAACAAGGTCCTAGTGTAGAGCACAGGGAACTACATTCAGTATCCTGTGATAAATCACAATGGAAAAGAATATGAAAAGGAACAAATATATATGTATAACTGAGTCACTTTGCTATACAGCAGAAATAAACAACACTGTAAACCAAATATATTTCAATAAATTAAATTTTAAAAAATTAAGCATGTCTTAATTTTTAACAATTTAAAACAATATCTTAATTCTTTGAGAGCTGGCATACCCATGAATATTAGATCATCCAAACCAGCCTCTCTCCAACATGCCAAACAGCAGGATGGTTGTTTATTATGCAGCCAATACTGTACCTTTAATACTAAATTATCTCAGCTCCCCACATTTGGGGAAGGGAGAGCGTGATCTGTTTAATAGAATGCAAAGTCAGAACTTGGTTAAGTACCTGCCTCCTGCTAGAGCCCATGAGAGTCTATACAGATTAGGGCTTAGATTCAGGCAAAGGAGAAGCACCTTCTCTCTGCAAGAGCTGCCTCAGGGGGCTCTCTGGAGGCACCAGTTCCAAGGGTCGTTTGCCTTCAGCATTCCTGGCCTGGGTGTCTGCTCCAAAGTCCAGGAGCAGGCTGACCAGCTCCCCACTGGATGCCCTGGCCACTGCATGAAGAGGGGAGTCCAGCCCCCGGCCCTGGTTCACATTCACTCCTAAACAGTCAGGAGAACAACAGAGTCAGTCAAGCAGCAGAGTGCAAGCACCCCCTTCTAAAAGTGCTGTGCCTCCACAGTGGGCATGGCAGTTCTCCAAGTCATCAGGAGATGACTTGATTCCATTTAATAATATGGGGAAAAGGCCACTTGACAATATGAGTAAAGGTACGACATGAGCCATATGGCAGATGAGGTTGAAAAACCTCACCTTTGAGCATCATACATAGCTGTGATGGATTAAGGAAAAACACTGGCAGTGTGAAAGCTGCACATTCATTATTACTAGAGCCCAAATATTAGCCGGCACAGACCGGAAGTGAGGCTAGATGGCAAAATCTCATCAATGGCAATTTGCCACACTCACACGCCCAGAAACTGTGATGAAGTTTCAACTGGAGACTTGAGACCATGTGAACTGGTCTGTGAAGAGCAATCCATTATGACGACATTGCCTAGACTGGGGTGGCCAATCCTAAGATCATAGGGCAGGTGGCAAAGTCATCCTCTTTGGGGATCAGGTGGATTCCTAGGACCATCCCCACCCAATTCTATCCCTACACTAGACACTGGCTCCCAGTGGGATGTGTGGGGACATACAGCTTTGCCTGAGCTGCTGTCTCTCTAGAAAAATGGGAATCTATGTCCAGTCAACAAATGTTAACTGAATTGTTCTTGTATTGTTCTTAGCTTTTTGAGGGATGCCAAACCTGACCCTTTCCTGACTAGGAGCTTAAAAGCCATCTAAAACAAGAGAAGAGAGAGAGAGAAGGCGAGAGAAAACCAACCTTCTCCTGGTTCGTGGTAATGGCTGCCAATTGAGTAGAAGGCAATGAGAACAATAAACCTTCAGCAGAGGGAAAGATTGCCTGATTTTTAAAGATAACCAAGACTCAAATAACTTAAAACGTGAAAAGGGGGTATTTCAAGTGTTGAAGGGGTTGGACAATAGCAGGAAATGAAAAAGAATGGTGGGACATGGGCCTTTTCAAAAATACAACATCTACAATGGACTAAAACTGAGGCCAGTTTATTTCCCAATCAAAGAGAACTGCTGAAGGTGGCCTAAAATTCAAAGGCCCAGTCCTAACCCAGCAGCTGTGGGAGTTATGCCGGAACTAGTGATATCAATGGCCAGAGGGAGGGAGGCAGAGGAAAGGGAGGAGAAACTAATAATCACTGAGAACCATCCTGGGAGCAGGGACATCATCGTCATCATGATTCTTATTACAAGTAAGAGAACTCAAATTGAAACAGTATCAAATAATTCCCCAGGGGAACACAGTCACGATGAACTCTGATCTTGTCCAACCCCACTGCCCACACTTTTTCCTCTGCTACAACAGCAAGAGCTTTCAAATACCTTGAATGTACTTTTCATTTACTCTCCTTGTTCTGTTGTGCTTTTGGTTTTACCTGACTCCAGAAGTTTCCTGACGCAGGCCACCTGCAGGTTTTCACAAGCCAAATATAATGGTGTGCCCAGGTGGCGGATGTTTTGGTCAATGTCGCCCCCGTGAGCCACAAGAGACTCAATGCACTCCACGTGGCCTGAAGTCCAAAGTGGAAGAAGACAGTTACAGCACTAATTCTCACAGCTAGGGAAACACCACCTTGCCCATATTCTGTGTGTTGAAAATTTCCAATGACTTAACTAGGGACCAAAAGCTATGTTCTTTACTTAGAATAGCAAATGATCTTCAACACCATCACTAGTTAACGGGGTGTTCCATAAGACACCATCTGGAGCTCTGGGTGGAACTCCACTTGAGTTTATTAGCCACGGTAGGCAACAAGCAACCATCCACCTTTTTTAGTTGTTTGTGGCTTTGTAATCTGAGTTCAGAAATCGAAGTGAGAGTTGGGAAGAGGTGTCGAAGAGGGACAAGGTGGGCCTGAAGAAGACAGCACAGACAGTGGGCCATGGAACAGGGAAGGAAACTTACAACCTCACCAAAAGCAGGCCCTGGGAGAAATAGCCCACGGTGGGCACTGGAGAGGCTTAGGAGACGGTGCCAAATCCAATATGAGTGGGGCCCTGTGTGGCCAACTAGTTTGGGTGAAAGCAGAATCATTCTTCCTTGGTCTAAAATGTCATACTGAAACACTGCTCCTTTGCATTTATCTTGTTACACCATTGTGGATCCCAGGATCCCACATGGAGAACGAGTGCTCTGTATACCTCCTTTTCCCTCTTCAATCGTAAGATGTCCCTTGAAGGAGTGGGTGGAAAACTTCAATTCTCAATAGATTTACCTCTCTTAGCAGCTTCGTGGATGGGGGATGCCAGGTCACTCGCAGGGTAGGGACTGGCTCCATATTGCAGAAGCAAATTCACACACTCATGGCTGCCGCTGACACAAGCATTAAACAAGGGAGTGTGCCAGTCCACAGTGACACCATTCACCTGTAAGGAAAAACTCCGAGATGAAGGCAGGCAGTGAAGTGCCCTGGATTCTATTGTAAGCGCCACCATTTTCAAGCTGTTTTTTCGCTTATCAGAGCCTTAAATTCCATAGCTACAAGATGGAGACAGAAAAGAACAAATGCCAAAAAGCTGTTGTGAAAAACTGAATGAGGTATGGGCTGTCGGGCCCCAAGAATGTTTCTGAATATTTTGTCTCCTCCATGCCCTCCCCCAGGAACATGAACTTGGACACTAGTTAGGATAAACTGAAGAGGTCACAAACTACTCACCTTATTTTAAACACTCTATACTAGACCCATCCCACATCAATCCAATTTCCGCACAGCAGTTAGAGTAACCTCTTAAAATTGTGAATATATATATATATTTTTAACTTTAAGATGCCCCAGGTGCAAACCTGAAGGAGACACTCACTCCCAGGATCACAAAAGTGCAGCACAACCTGAGAGGGGGCAGCTCCCTCACGTTTGCACCCTCAGGCTCCTCTTTTGCCTCTGCTTAGTCCTGGCCCTGTTTCCAAGTTCAGGGTAAGTTTTCTTAGCCTGAGGATATACTTATAAACCTGTGGATATACTTATCATGGCTCTCGGCTGCCCTCAGGACAAAGTCCATTTTCTTGGCATGGACAGCAAGCTTGTTTTGCTCTGACCCCTGTCCCCTGCTCTACCCTGCTGCTATAAGGAATGATTTGAAATCACACAAAATGCCCCCACTTTCACTTCAAGGCTTTTGTGTTTCTCGTTCCCAGTGGGTAGGAAGCTCATCATTTTCCCCAACCCGCCAATGAGCTGAGTACTCCAACAGGTCCTGTAGAGTTCAACTGTGATGTCACTTCCTGCAGGAAGCATCTTTTCACTCCCTCTCTCCATCAGAGATAAACAGGTTAGGAACATTTTTACATGTTGCCAACAATTCTCTTACTATTAATACTTATTATATTTTGGTAGCATGTGGTAGCAAAAAATGGCCACAGACTCTGGGCCCAGGATGCACATTCCTTTGTAATGTGGCTCTGCGACTCCTCCCATCACAAGACAGAGACTATTTTTTCAATCCTGGAATCTGGGCTTGCCCACATGAATCACTTTTTGGTCAATGGGACAGTTAACAAGCGTGATGCAAGCAAAGAGCTCCCCCTTTTTGCTGCTCTTGGAATCCCTGCTACAATGTGAACAGGCCCAGGCTGCCTGCTAAAGGATGAGAGACCACAGGGAGATTTTCTTTCTCCCCAGACCTCCCAGCGGCCCCAGCCACAGTCACCATGAGGCAGTCTGTTACAGCCCACCTCTCGGCTAACCCCAAATGCCTCTGTGAGCCCAGCTGAGGCTAGCCAAAGCAGGCCAGACCAGAAGAGCTGTCCACACAACACAAGGAACTGTGAGATAAAGAAATGGCTACTGTCTAAAGTCATTAAGTCAGGTGGTTTGTTACACAGCAGAAACTGATGGATAAAAAACAGTGTATTGTAATTGCCTGCTGTGGCTGAGATATTACGCATTCACCAAACTCACTCCCTCTCTCCTGGGCACACAGCCATACACTTTCCCACCTTCCTGGCAATTAGACATGGCCTGAACTCTGGCCAATGGGATGTGAGCAAAAGTGACATATGTCACTGCCAAGACTGGCCTTTGAAAAGTCTCCATTCACAATCCTTCATGTCTTTTCCTCTTCCAGCCATCTGGAACAGAGCACACATGGGAGCCACTTGTTGAAGGCAGAGGAGCAACGGGATGAAAGGAGCCTGTGTCCTTGAATGACCCTTGGAAAACAGCCACCCAAGCGGCAATACCCACATAGGAGTCTAAGTTGAACAAGAAATAAACTTTTATTCTATGAGGTTACTGAGATTTCAGAGTTTATCTACTGAAGCATTTAGTGTTACATTCAGCCATTTACCTGTTTATCTGGTTACCTCCTCACTTACTTTAGAAGTTCCTGAAAATCTTTATTTAGAGTTAGGCACATAATAAATGTTCAGTACAGACTGGTTGAGAAAAGATGAGCAATCTATATAGAATCTTCTGATCACATTTTCCCATCACTTTTGAGCAAGAGGGGACTTAGTTAATGGAAGAAATACTGGTCCCTACTTTCAAATTCAATGATTTTGTAACTTCCTTCTCTGTAATCTCATTATGTCACCCTGATTCCCATTCTCCAAATAACCACATGCCTTACCCCTCTCAATCCTCCCAATTCCACAAAATATGCTACATAACTTTTTTGCTATTTTCCCCATTATTTTTCATATATATACTCTAAAACTCACAGGCTAAGTAGCTTGTCCAAATTTCCAATGTTAGTAAATGGTAGAGATGGTCTGGGACCATTATTCAGGTCTTACAGAGCCAAATGTTGTATATTTTTTAGAATATGTCACTACCTTCCAGCCATAGGAGTGAAGGCAGAAATGTAACAGCTATTTATTAGTAGTGACAGCTAAAGAAAATGATATAGGCTCAGACCATGACTTTCTAGCTAAAAATGCAGTATTTCATCTACTGCTAAAGTAAATAAGCTTGATGGACATAATACTTTTGGGGGAAAAAACACTCTTTATATTTCAAATCAGGCTAATCAAAAATGCTGGAAAGTATTTAGAAGGGATAGAAATAGTCATTTTTCAGTAGTGGTGTCTAAGATGTGTTTTGAGCTGTACTCACCTGAGCTCCATGCCTCAATAACATGTTTGCACAGGAAGGATGACCTCCAAGACAGGCTTCATGGAGCGGAGACACACGATCTGCCGTGATGAGGTTCACCGGCCACCCCTGGAGGAGGGGAAATGGGCAGAGTAAGGAGTGCAATGTAACAGTTCTGTAGGGCTCAGCCATGAATCCACGATTCTTTTAAAAGTTAACCTGGCTCACCTATGTGTTCAGCCACTCAGTTGTGTCTAACTCTTTGTGACCCTGTGGACTGTAACCCACCAGGCTTCTCTGTCCACGGAATTCTCCAGGCAAAAATACTGGAGTGGGTTGCCATTTCCTTCTCCAGAGGATCTTCCTGACCCAGGGATCAAACCTGCATCTCCTGCATTGACAGGAGGGTTCTTTACACTGAGCCACCAGGGAAGCCGATATATATTGTTATGACTGCAGATTCATAAAAGAGTCCCTGACCCAGGTAAATTGTGTCTAGATTCCTGCCCCATAGACACTGTGAATACATGTCTGTTACATTAAGCCACTAATTTGGAGGATAATATGTTACACAGCAAAACATGACTAAGACAGTCCAAAGCATTAGGTGAACCTCTATCGACAGAGAGGCAAAGGGACAATTACATTCTCACTCTAGTAGCCTAGAGCTAAAGAAGCAAGGAAGTGTCTAGAAAGGTTGTGGGGTTCTTCAACCTCTTGCAAAGTGTGCTCTCCAGGATATGGATCCTGAACCTAATCCAAGCAGAACATCAAAAGAACTCAAGGAGAGCCTCCACAGACCCCCTGATCTTGGAATATATAATCTATTCCTAACAGGAAGAAATCAGGTACAATAAAAGTTCTTTTCCTTAGCATATGTCAATTAACAGCATGGACAGTTTAATCAACATCTTCGTAATACTGGGTTAGTTAAAAAGTTCATTTGGGTTTTTCCATAAGATGTCACAGAAAAACCCAAATGAACTTTTTGGTCAACTCAATATATTATACTTTTTCTTCCCAGAATGCATGCAGGCTAAGTTGCTGCAGTCAAGTCCGACTCTGTGTGACCCTATGGACTGACCCAACAGGCTCCTCTGTCCATGGGATTCTCCAGGCAAGAATACTGGAGTAGACTGCCATGCTCTTCTCCAAGGGAATCTTCCCAACCCAGGGATCGAAGCCAGGTCCCCTGCACTGCAGGCAGATTCTTTACCATCTGAGCCACTAGGGAAGCTCAGAATAAATAAATTTTTCTGGAATAAATTTGCCTAAAATCATTCCATTAAATTATCTCACTCACCATCATCCCTAACACACATTCTTCTACTTTTGTGGGCATTTTTGTCAGCCCCTAGTCATGCTGTCCTTTGGGCTGTTACCCTCTGACTGGCAAGCTCACACATTTTGATATATCCCATCACTCTGGATATACGCTTGAGTTCACAGGATCTCAAACCCAGAGATTTTTTTTTAAGGTGGGTCTAGGAAGGGGTTCTGGGAGACTCAAAATAATCTGCTTGTAAATGAGAAATTTGAAAATCCTTTTCAGCACTTTGCCATACTACCTCTGCTGTTTGCAGGGAGGGACAGGGCTGTTTCTTCCCTTCTTTCACAACCTCAAATCCCATCTGTATTCAACAAATGCTCACTGACACCCTGACTTGAGAAAAATTTGGATTGTAGCATTTATTCCCTTCACAAGCACTGCCCATGGACTTCATGGTATAGCATCTTTTGTCTTATTACTGCCATTATTATTTTATTACAGGCATTCCTCTCAAAGATCTGTTCTCAAAGCCGTTTTCCCCACTCTCAGTGCTCTATGTTTGTCCAGGCTCTTCCCCACACACTGGTAGAATACACAGGAAATTCACAGCAAAATGTTAACTGCATTTTTCCCTGTGCTACAGATCATGAGATGAAAGAAGACTATTCTTTAAAGGAATTCTTTATTAAGAGTTCTTCTATTACAAATGTACTCGTATAGCCACTACTGCCATTTCAAAATCATTTAGGTGCTTATACATAAATCCAAGTAAATGAAAAAACAAAAAAACAATTATTTACACTCCAAAAATGTTCACCACTCATTACATATTCACATTACAAAGAAGTTCCTTTAAATTAAGCTTCCCTGTGCAAACTGAGGACTGTATTTACAGTTCATCACAGATATGCAATTTTGACTTTAAATGAACTGTGGCAGTTTGTCTGAAATACTGTCAAGTCTGAATCATATACTATTTAAGGTAATTTTTAACCCATTACTTCAGAGAGGATCCAGTCTACAGAGGGTTCTTAGTTAGAAAAAAATGGATTGAAGAGCTGACATTTAATTTTTCTATCATCAACTGTCTGTCCCCTAATCTCAGCATATAGTCAGAAGCTCTGATGATTCCATGGGGCTGTGCAATATCAGGGAAGCTACGGGTGACATAGTGCTTAGTACCTGGCAACTTTCTGTCCCAGCTCCAAATCATATGCCTACCCAGACTGAACCAATCGACCACAAGAAGGTTAGACTTTATCGTTTATCCTGTCCACAGTTATCGCTTCCTTCTCTACACTCAGCAGAAAGGAAGATCACAGACCTCCATCTCATGTTCATCCAAACACATCACTTCCTCCCTACTTTACCAAGGAGGTCAAAACCATTTGATATGAGAGCTTCCTACATTACCCTCCCCTCCACCCCTAACATTTCTTAATATTTCTCCAGTCTTCTTTTCTCCCATTGCTCCTTTCTCTGTGGAAGAAATATATGAGCTCAGTCCAATAGCCCATGACCTCACCTGGTCCTCCCACCACCCCCATGACTTTCTCTCATCTACCTTCTCACATGCGTTCCCCTGCTCTCTCCTCTTTAGGTACACTTTCTTTTTGCTTTCAAAGCTCCCAGCCCTCAGTCCTGACCCTCTGAGAAGCATCCATTCAATGCTCTTCATCCCTTCACTGGCCCCCCCCTTTTTTTCCAAAAATAGTCTACCCCCATTATCTCTACTTTTATACCTTCTCTCATTTTCTACCAACAGAATTCTGCTGATATGGCTTTTAAAGACCACCAGTGACTTTCAGAATCCAGTATGCCTTGCTCTGTTCCCCACCTCCTTCCACCTCTGAATTTGCAACATATTCATCCTGACCTCATGGAATCTGTGCCCTGGCTTCTAAAACAGACTTCTATCTGAAATTATCTCTAGTCTCTGATTGCCATTTTTTCTGTCTCTTTCACTAACTCCGTTCTTCTCCTCCTTACATCTCCTAATGTAGGCATTTCCTCAAGGATTTGCCCCCAAATCCTTTTCTTTTCTCTCAATACCCTCTATATATTACATATTGCTTTCAAATCTAAATCTCCAGCCCCAGTACACGTTCCTAATTCCCTGCTAAGACATAATCACCCAGAGACCCAGCTCATGACACAAATTTAGCCTTTGCCAATCAAACTCTCCTGAAAAGAGCTCCTTTTCTGCCAGACCTGATTCTCTGAATGGTGCCACTATCTTCATTTCAAACCTAGGACTGAAATCTCAGAGAGAGGATAGCAGAATGATTCCCAAGTTCAAATGTTGGCACCATCACCTAATTAGTAGTGTGACCTTGGGCCAGCTACTTTTCTCTCAAAGCCTCAATTTCCATCTGTAAAATGGGGACAATTTCACCTACCCTACCAGGTTGGTTATGAAGACTTAAAAAATGATGTATGCAAAGTGTTTAGCACTCAGTAATTTCCAGGCAGTTAATAGATGAGATTTCTTTTAATTCTTTATCACTGAGCCTTGAATCAGCTGCTACACCTTTACCAGATGAGCTACAGGAGAAGCCCAAGAATACTGGAGTGGGTAGTTTATCCCTTCTCCAGCAGATCTTCCCGACCCAGGAATTGAATCGGGGTCTCCTGCATTGCAGGCAGATTCTTTACCAAATGAGCTATCAGGGAAGCCTGCTACATCCTATAGGTCTGATATTTCAGAATGCCCAGGATCTTTCCTAGTATCTACCCTGATAGTGACTTAATCCTTTAAAGACTGCATGGAGCAGCATAAAGAGTTTTCATTCAAGAAACAAAAATAGAGCTGCCATATGACCCAGCAATCCCACTTCTGGGCATACACACCAAGGAAACAAGATCTGAAAGAGACACGTGCACACCAATGTTCATCGCAGCACTGTTTATAATAGCCAGGACATGGAAGCAACCTAGATGCCCATCAGCAGACGAATGGATGAGGAAGCTGTGGTACATATACACCATGGAATATTACTCAGCCATTAAAAAGAATTCATTTGAATCAGTTCTAATGAGATGGATGAAACTGGAGCCCATTATACAGAGTGAAGTACGCCAGAAAGATAAAGAACATTACAGCATACTAACACATATATATGGAATTTAGAAAGATGGTAATGATAACCCTATATGCAAAACAGAAAAAGAGACACAGATGTACAGAACAGACTTTTGGACTCTGTGGGAGAAGGCGAGGGTGGGATGTTTCGAGAGAACAGCATCGAAACATGTATATTATCTATAGTGAAACAGATCACCAGCCCAGGTTGGATGCATGAGACAAGTGCTCGGGCCTGGTGCACTGGGAAGACCCAGAGGGATTGGGTAGAGAGGGAGGTGGGAGGGAGGATCGGGATGGGGAATACATGTAAATCCATGGCTGATTCATGTCAATGTATGACAAGACCCATTGTGGTATTGTAAAGTGATTAGCCTCCAACTAATAAAAATAAATGAAAAAAATAAAAATAAAAAAATAAAATAAAATACAAAACAAAAACAAACAAACAAAAAAAAGAAACAAAAAAGTCAGTCCTCATCCAGTGCATGCAGTGGAACTTTATTGGGAAGGTTTATAGGGCTGTGCATTTAATCTTCAGGGGAGCTTTAAAAAAAAAGTCCTGATACCCAAGCTGCATCCCACAGAAACTGCAATACAACCAAAGGTAGCTGAATCCAGGCACTGGTATTTTTAAGATTTCCCATGCAACCCCAGCCCAAAGGGATGCTAATATGAACCATTAAATTAAGGTCACAGAGTGTCCAAGGTTGCCTTAATTGCTTTATGCTGGCCCAACAAATTGCTTTTTAAAAAATAAATTACTATTGAAGTGTAACAGATACAAAGAAAGGTTCATAAATCCTTAGTGTAAATCTCAGTGAATTATCACAAAGACAATCTAACTATATAACCACTATACAGGTAAAGGGAAAAAAAATTACCAGAAACCCACATACATCCTACCCAAATTACATCCACAAAGGCATTCAGAATAGTGGCTTCTAGCATCATAGTTTTCCTTGGTTTTGAATGCTTTATTAATTGAAGCATGAAGTATAGTATTTTTGTATGTGTGCTCAGCTACTTTGTTTAACATCTGTTTTTCAAACTTACTCATTCATGTATTTTCATTGGTGCATAGGGTTGTATATTAGAGTAATATACCAAAATATATTTATCCACTTACTTTTGATGGACACTTAGGTTGTTTTCAAGGTTTTTTTTTTCTGTTATGAATAAGGCTGTTTCTTTAGTGGCTCAGACAGTAAAGAATTTGCCTGCAGTGCAGGAAACCTAGATTCAATTCCTGGGTCAGGAGGATCCCTTGGAGAAGGGAATGGCAACCCACCCCAGCATTCTTGCCAGGAAAATTCCATGGACAGAGGAGCCTGGCAGGCTACACACCATGGCATCGCAAAGAGTCAGACACAACTGAGCAGCTAACACTTTCATTTTCACTTAGGTTGTTTTCAAGGGTATTTTTTTTTTTTTTTTGCTGTTAGGAATAAGGCTTCTATGAATATACCTATACATGTTTTTTGATGAACTCATGTATACATATCTGTTGCATATAAACATAGAAATGAAAGTGTTTGGTTGTAGGGTATAGATATTTGTAGCTTTAGTAGATATTCCTTAATAGTTCCCAAATTGGTTTGCACAAATTTACACTCCCACCAGCAATGTATGAGAGTTTCAGTTGCTCCACATTCTTGCTGACACTTGGTATTATCTGTCTTTCCAAATTTAACCCTTCTAGTGGGAGGAGTGAGTAATATAATTTATTTGTAATTTGAATTACACATTTACTAATTTTACTAATAAGCACAATTTGATATATTTATTGAACACTTGGATATCTTTCTATAAATTGCCAGTCCAAGTTTCTTGCTCATTTTTCTGTTGTCAGTCTTTTATGTATTGATTTTAGGCTAGGAATAAGAGTTCTTAGTCATAGATAGATAGATAGATATCTCAAATATTTTCTCATGTATGTCTTGCTTTATTGCTTTTACAATGCTGCCTTTGATGAACAAGTCCTTAACTTTAATGAAATCCAACCTATCAATGTTTTTGTTCCTTTCCACATACTGTTTCTCTTTCATGTCAAATGCCTTCTTCCCTCTTTCTCTACTGGCAAAATGGCCTTTTTAAAAAAATTCCTCAACATAGTGATTCTACAGGAGCTTAAAAAATACCAATGCATGAAGCCTGGCCTAGGCTAAATCAGAATATCTAGAGTGAAAGCCAGTTGTTGTGTTCTTTTTAAATCTCACATTATTTTAATGTGAAGTCATGGTAAAGAATAATTAGTTACAGATTCAGTTTCTCCCTTCTTGGACCAAGTGAGAATTATTTTTTATAATTTTCTTTTCTCTTTGTTATAGACATTTGAATGTTTGGTCTTATATCCCTTACTAAAGTTTGTTTGTTTAGTTTAGCAGCAGTTTTTTCCAGTAGTTTTTGATTATCTGAAGTGCTATGTAGATTGTAATAACAAAATAGGTACTCTTCATTTGTGAAGAGTAACCAGAGCAGGTACATAATGTCACCTCAATTAATTCTCTCAAACTCATATATAAGGTAACGTAAAAGACTGAATTTTGGGTCTCAATTCTTCACTCTCCTCTAACAGTGTAATATAGTCACACCCTTGTCATGACCTCATAGTTGACAAAATGTACTTCCTTATCCTTGACTTTGGACTTGGCCATCTGACTTGCTCTGACCAACGGGATGTTAGCAGATGTAACATAAGCAGATTAGAAGTTTTCTCTTGTGGTTGGGCTTGCCCTGCTATGCTACAGCCTTCTGCCACAGGGCGAAAATTCCTCAGGTAGCCACTGGTTAAACAAGGATGGGAAATTAGTGCAGGAGAGCTGTACCCAACCCACAGCTTGAAGCCAAGATCAGTGCAGATCAGCTGATCCAAAGTCTTATCGGCAAGAAATAAATGTTTATTGTATTTTGCTACTGAGTTTGGGCTTTTTTCTTACACAGCAAGACCTGACTAATACTGGAGGTATTAGTCTGGAGGTAGGTATTGGAATGCTCAGGAGCTTCTCAGGTGGTATAGTAGTAAAGAATCCACCTGCCAATGCAGGAGATGCAAGAGACATTGCTTTGATCCCTGGGTCAGGAAGATCCCCTGGAGAAGGAAATGGCAATGCACTCCAGTATTCTTGCCTGGAAACTTCCATAGACAGAGGAGCCTGGCAGGCTACAGTCCATGGGGTCACAAAGAGTTGGACAAAACTGAGAGACTCAGCACACACACACACACACACACACTGGAACACTTATTTTTTTGAAGGTAGAAACTGAGGTTCCAAGAAAATAACTTGCTTAAATAATGCAAAAGAGCTTAGATAAAGACATGATTCCAGCAGATATTCAATAAACATATTGAATATAAATGAATATCAGTCCAATTTAGTAAGCTATATATAAAAGCTGCAATGATCATTTTTTACCCTATCAAATTAAGGCAAATGTTTCAGTTTATCTGAGAAGCAGCTTAACTTCATTTAGCTAGAGTTATGTGCTACTATCTATATTTCTATTTATAAGAGGCTGCTGCTACCATAAACAGCTTAAGATAGTGACTCAGAGTAGTCTGAAATTTATCTTTAAAAATTGTCTTCTTATAGGAGGATTTCTTAGTCTAGATAGTTCTGTGAAATTGGAATTTTTCAAAGCAGATTTATTAATATTTCCAGAATTAACACCTGAAATTTATCATGTCCTTCAATTGTGAATCTAGACCATAAACCACAGTAGTAATAGGACATCACTGAGAGGAATCACAGATATTTTTAATTGCACTGATTATTGCAGATAATCAATAAAGTAGCTCAAAATATACATTCATCCTACTTAGAAAGTATGGTAATAATTAGAATTGCCACTAAATCTTCTTACTGAATGTGTTAATAAAGAAGTTCATATAGTACTATGTTACACATTTGTTTAGTAGGGTTCCTCTATAATGTGTTTTATGCATTTAAGACATTAGTCTGAGAAGAGGTCCTTAGATTTTGCCAGACTATCAAAGGGGTCCATGAAATGGCCAAGAGCTCCTAACTTAAAAGGTCTATATTGTCTCTTCAGAGGACAAACACTATGAACAAAAATTTTATTGGAATTTTGAGTGGTAATTGAAACTACTTTCTTAAAAGCACATTTGCTTAAGTTTCAAATAATTTCAAACCACCAAAATTCCAATTAATGTGTACTTGAAAGTATCACATCGAAGGAGCAGAGAAATATCAAACTGGCAGAGCCATTTTCACTGGAGATTCAATAGAACTGAAATTTTCTTTGATATTTTAAGATGACATATTTTAAAAGACATTTTCAAGCATTTATTTTATGTGAAGGATCTTCAACCTCAGCACTACTGATACTGGGGGCTAGATAACTGTTTAATGGGGAGAGTCATCCTGTGCACTGTCAGATGTTTAATAACTTTCTTGGTCTCCAGCTACTAGATGCCAACATCACCCCAACCCCATTCCCACTCCTGCTCCCAGTTATGACAACCAAAAATGTCTTCAGCCAATGTCAAATGTCCCCATTTGGGGCAAAACTGCCCCAAATGAAAACCACTGCTTTACATGATAATTTTCCAGGATACAGTCTATGGAATAAAGTGAGAGCAACTTGAATGCACTAATTTGCTCACTATTCATTCAATAGATACTACAGAATCTACTTTGTGCATAAAATTGTACTAAACTCTAGTATTATGCCAGCCTCCAAATAAAGGAGGACAGGATTCATCTCATTCTGCTAAACAGGAAATTTACATCCTAAGATCAGACTATGACTTCTTTTCGTCAGTGTGGTAAGCAGAAGAACTTGCCTAATAGTCATCATTTTTTTCCCCAAAAAGTTACCTACCTGGTTGATGAGGCTCCTCAAAGAAAGCAGACGTCCGTGAATGGCTGCTTCATGCACAGGAGACCAATCAGATACAATATCTGTATGGAAAGGGAGGAAGAGGTTGGTTACGTCCCACTATTGTGCTTTAGACCCAGAGGCTTATCCTTGCCCGTCAATAAGAGCCTAACTGGTCTTACTGGAGGGAAACATTGGAGTCAAGCAACCAACTCCCTTCATCAGGACTTTAGCATTTCTCCCCTCTATGGATGTTTCTTGAATACAGCTTATTTGAAATGTCTAGCTAGCTAAAGCAATAACTACAGTCTGCTTTCAAACTGAAGACAAAGAGGTGGACTGGGATGACAGATTACTGTACTTCGATTTACACACTGGTTTCAAAGGCAAATGATCCATTTAGTTAAATGAGAGCTTCACTAATTAGCAGCATTAGTGCATTAAACTGTGTTTGCCAGCCTAGTTTCCTGCATGAAATACAAACTCTGGCACCTCAGCAAACAGTGCCATATACTAATAGTAGTAATCATGTCATTACCGACGCCATTAGGCTTGGAATCAAATCTAAACAAAATCCTATCTATTTGGAGATTACCTCCTGTCCCAATATCAAGCACAAATCAGACTTCACTCTGACCTTGCAAGAGGGATGTGATTTACCCACAAAGGCAGTGTGCCACTGTGATTAAGAGAAATCTGTGAATTCAGACCCACTTGACTTCTTCTGAGCTGTGGGTCTCTGGAGCAGAACCTAGCTTCAGTTCTCTTCTCTGTAAAGTCAGGACAGCAATATACTTACCTATGGCTCAACTTCTATTAGCTACTATTATTATCCCACCCTAACACTAATTAGAGGGTATTGATTATACCCCACAGTCACTGCTATTTAAAATAGCTGGGACCTCCCTGCTGGTCCAGTGGTTATGACTTCACTTTCCCATACATGGGGTAACAGGTTCAGTCCCTGGTCGAGGAGCTAACATCCCACATGCCTTGTGGTCAAAAAACCAAAACATGAAAAACAGAAGCAATATTGTAAACAAATTCAATAAAGACTTTAAAAATGGTCCACATCAGAAAAAAAAAATCTTTAAAAAAAATAGCAAATGTATTCTCTAACCATATGCAAAGAATATACTTTCTTAGGAAAGAAGTCTGTAAAATGCACCTCAACACATTAAATGCTTCCCCCTCTTTCTCATCAACTGGATGTGCCCTGAATTTGGCATAGACCTGAATTTTTCTCATCTCCAGCTGCATCTGGTTTTCAGAACAAAGGCAGGAAGTCAGAACATGAGGCGGCTAGTCTGCGCTTGCCGCAGCTCAGGCTCTGCCTGATTGAGTAAGCACACTACAACACACCAACGAGGCAGGATGGTCTGATATCAGTCATGCTTCGTGACTGAACTGGTATCTCCTCAAAGTCCGAAGACCTGGAGAAGCAAGGCAGTTTACTAAAGCCTGGCCAATGCCAGCACATCAAGGAGGCGGCTGGACCACTTTGGACTTAACATGTGTTGGCTGACATGGGCCTGCCACCTGGAGCTATCAGTGTCCCGGAAAATCTGTCCCAGTGAGCACATTACCATTCTTCCGGATGGATTGACGAGGCTCTTAACAGAGAAGAGCATGCTGAATGAGCCTGCCTCCACACCGTCCATCCAAGGCTTCCCTTCTGGGCTCATCACCATGCCCGAGGTACCTTCAGGGAAATGCCTTTTCCTAACTTCTGAAAATTTATACTCAATAGAAAATTAGAGTCCTTGCACCATTCTCTGAGAGTCCTAATGCTCTCAGGAGAAATACTACTGCTTCCAGGGCTTGGCGACTGCAGTGCAGACAGCAGACAGGGAAAGACTGACCCCCAAGTTAGAAGTAAAAGGACAACTCATTCTACCTTCATTCAAAGGCAAAATGCCATCCATACAAACTGTTGAGTGAGAAGAGCCACAAGCTGAGAAAGATTTCAAAAATCAGTTGGATCACCATGTTTGTGAGGATTAAGCCATTTTTTTCCTTCCAACTTCTCAGCTGCTAAGAAATATCACTGCCACACTCCTCAACCTTTCTTAAAACTACCTCAGATAATCAGAGTTGACAGCCAGACAGGTAATTTGGGTCCTAAACTGTAACTCTGTTTAGATTTCATAAAAGTGGTGCAATTATCTTATCAAGTGTAGACCAAAATGGGCTTTACTTTGTTTGCATTCATCATGGAAGCAGACTCCTTTTACTTAGGGTAAATAAAGAATTATGTACTTGAAGAAGTACATAAAAAAAGGAAAATAAAAAAGTACATTAAAAAAAAGACTACCTGAGGTTTTGCACCCATACATTAGGACATAGTATTATTGGGTTGGCCATAAACTTTGTTCTGGTTTTCCCATACATCACAAAAAAGACAAAACGAACTTTTTGGCCAACCCAATATTTACAAAGTGGAGACTATCTATGTCTTCAAGAAGCACAGAGTATTGTCCAGCTTTAATGATTTATCACTCACATATACCCCTTTCAAATATATAATTCAGTGGTTTTCAGTAGATTTCAGAGTTTCACATCTATCATCACAATCAATTTTATAACATTTTCAGTATCCCAAAAAGAAACCCCTTGCCTATCAGCAATCACTTCCCTCATCTCCACCTCCCCCAACCCCTCGCAACCATTGATCTACTTTCTGTCTCTATGGAGTTGTTTTTTTTTTGGGGGGGGGGACTTTCCACACAAATGGAATCATACAATCTGTGGTCCTTTGTGACTGGCTTATTTCACCAAGTATAATGTTTCGAGGTCCATCCACACTGGAGTATGTATCAGCACTTCATCCTTTTTTATGGCCAAATAATATTTGTATAGATAGATCAAAAAGTTCATAGACATTTGTCTTGTTTCCACTTCTTGGCTGTTATCAATAATTCTGCTCTAAACATTCATGTACCAATTTTTGAGTGGATATATGTTTTCAATTCTCTTGGGTAGACACCCAGGAATGGAATTGCTATATAATATGGTAACCCAATGTTTAGCCTTTTGAGAAACTGCCAGACTACTTTCCAAGCAGCTGCACCACGCTATATTACCAGCAGCAGTACATGAGACTTCCCTTCCTAAGTTAAAGTCCTTTCAGACTATGATTTGGTGAATCTACCAGAGCATTCTAGTACTCCAGGCCGGAAGAAAACCTTAGGTTCTTGTATAGCCAAAGGTCACCTCAAACATATACAAAGACTTGAGCCTCAGCTGGTCTCTCAACACTTGATTATCTACAGACTTAAAACTGTGAAAGGTTGACATTTTTCTAGCATTGAGAGCATGGACTTCATGCATAGTTCATTTAGCAAATGCTATAATTTGAAACATGGATTGGTCTAACACTCTCTTTAGCTCTTGAAAACACTGATGAGATATCCAGGAGATGTTTCCAGAGCCCACATCACAAGCAGGCAATGAGCTACAAGCTCAACACATGAGCAATTAAAGCCCAAAGCAGCTTTGCCCGCCTTCCTGCTGACAAACGTTAAAGAGTAGAATAAGCAGGAAAGGGGACTATTCCTGCCAGAACATGGATGCTGCTCACAGGAGGTGGCTATGGATGGAGGGAAAATTCAAAGTCACATTCCCTTTTCCACTGACCCCTGGAAACTCAAGGGCTATTATATCTATATAACACATCATACAAGTGCTCAGTACATATTAAGAATTTTTCCCTAGTACTTTATCAGCTAAGAACTGTTGGTTTTACTGCCAAGAAATAGAAGCCAAATGGGGTCACTGGCGATGCCACAGATTCACTAGTGTAGCTCGTGGTTGACATGAGGCAAGAGCTCTCCTCATGAAACAATGCCACAAGTCCTCCAATTAGTGCTATTCAACTTACCTTTCTTTTAAATTGAGTCTCCATCAAACCCTGCAGCACATTAGGAAAGCTGCCATTTCATCTTTATTGCCACTTCTGGAATGATTTTTTAAATTTCCATTATTCACAAGAGATTGAAAATATACTAATTAGTACATTCTGAAAAGAGCTATTATTCATGAAGCTCTGAAAGCCCACAATGAATGCTGGGAGTAGTATCCACCGTTCCTCCTGGGAAACATTTTGCAAGGGCAAGGCGGGGGAGAGAGGATGCGTTGCTCAGAGACAGTGGGAGCACAAGCCTTCAGTCTTCTGGTGGTGATGGGGTAGGTTCAGTGGTGAGTACCAACGCTGGAGAGGATCTGGGTGTTGTGTTTACAGTGGCTGTGGACCTTGGTTAGATGGCAGGACAAATCAAAAGAGGAGAAAGAAACAGAGGCTCACGGTCGCAAAGACACAAACACAAAGGCCCAACAAGGCAACTCTTGGGCACATCAGTCCTGTCTACCGCAATTCTTTCTCCCTGTTCCATCACCCTGCCTCTCCTGTCTGGGTCTCTGTCTCCGGTTGCCTCCTCCAGAGACCTCACCCCCTCAACCCATCCTGTGTGATCAGGCAGGTTTCCCCCAGAAAAACTGCCCCTGCTGAGGTGGCCCGACAGCTAAAAATCCACCCTAAGAGAACGAGTCCTTCCTCACCTCTTCTAGCCTCTGGTGTTGGCTGTCCGTCTTTGCGGTTTCTTGGCTCTTCAGGTGCATCTTTACAATCTCCGCCTCTGTCATCACAAGGCTTCATCCCTCTCTGCCTCCTCTGCTCTTTTTCCATGGACCAGTCATTGGATGCAGCGCCCTCCTGCTCCACTGTGACCCGGCCTTAATGGATTGCACCTGCAATGACTGTTGCTAATCAGGTCACATCCTGAGGTCCAGGGGCTGAGGACTTTAGCTTATGTTTTTTTGGGGGAAATCAACGTGATCAATAACAAGGTATTTTCAGGGGGAAAAGAAAGACATTCTATTCCCACTCCTGGGACAGAAGAGTCAAGAATTCTATCTCTATAAATACTTTGTTGCCATCTGCATATCCTTTCCTCCCTTCCTGCAGAGGAGGCAGCCAAGAAAAGCCTGCTAGTTCAGGTGGGAGCAGCAGAGCTCCCCAAAGCTAACCACACCCCACTGACCTCTGTCCTGGTCCAGTGCCAGGGGATTCGCTTCACCTGAGTTGAGTTTCTCATCAAGGCCTGGAAACAACATTCTGAGTGTTTCACATTCCACACTTCACCAAGGTCAAGGCTTCCGAAGCATAAATAAATGCAATCCGGCTATCAGTGAAATTCTGCCCAAGGGGCAGGGCTGATGCACAGTAGGGAGAGCGAGCCTCCACTTGGGTAAGGGCTGGGAGAAAGTCGGGGAGGGCTTCCTGAGGGCAGTGGCTTCGAAAGTACAGTAGTCTGTGGGTCATTTGTAGAGGAGTTGGGTAAGCAGAGGGGCCCTGGCGCCCACCCTTGTGACTTCCGCTTCTTGGAAAACTCTTCCTTTAGTCCCTGTGAAATGACAGCATCTGAGTCTCTTCCTGCTTCTCTGTCCAATTTACTGGTTCTCCGTCCTCAAGTGGAAGTCTGTCCCAGGGCTCCATCCTTGGCTCTCAGCCATCAGCTATCAGACAATGTCTCCTCCAGAATTTCAGCCCAGCCCCTCTGCAGAACAGCCTGAGGCCTGATTCCCAACCTGAATTCACTGCCCAGCCTCTGTCCCGCACCTTCATGCTGAGCCCTGGGCATGGCCATTGGCACATTCCCGTTCAAACACAAGTCCTTCTCCTCCCTATCTCACTCTGATCCCCAAGCCAGCTCCCCTTCCCGACTTCTCTCTCATCGATCCCTCTGAGTTGACATTACCCTAGGCTTTGAAAACACTGCAGTTCTGGCCGCCTTCTCGCCTTTGTGCTGTGCTTAGTCGCTCCATCATGTCCTACTCTTTGCAAGCTCATGGACTGTAGCCCACCAGGCTCCTCTGTCCATGGGATTCTCCAGGCCAGAATACTGGAATGGGCTGCCATGCCCTCCTCCAGGGGATCTTCCCAATTTGGGAATTGAACCCAGGTCTCCCGCATTGCAGGTGGATTTTTTACCATGTGAGCCACAAGGGAAACCCAAGAATATTACAGTGGGCAGCCTATCCCTTCTCCAGGAGATCTTCCCAGCCCAGGAATCGAACTTGAGTCTCCTGCATGGCAGGTGAATTCTTTACCAGCTGAGTTAATCAAGCAACAGAGCTTGATACCTCTTTCCTCTGAAAATACAAGCCATATTTTCCCTTTCTCTGTCATTTCTGATGCTTGATCCAGATATCAGCTTCACGCAGTGGTTCTCAAGGTATTGTCCCCAAACAGCACCACCAGCATTACCCGGGAGCTTGTTATAAATACAGATTTCCAGGCCCCACCCCAGACCTAGTATCTGAGGTGGTGGAGCCCAGCCATCAGCGTTTTAACAATCCATCCAGGTGATACTGATGTATACGAGTTTGAGAAGCAGTGGATTAGTACAGTAATTTCTCATAAATTCTCCACAGTCTATCCTGACTATGGCTACCACATTAATTTACTTAGTCTTTATTATGGCCAAGCTTCCACTCCAGAACCGTCGATGGCTCCCAGTTCCCTGCCTCATGAAGGCTGAACTCTTCCACCTAGCTTCTGAAGCTTCATTTTCAGATTTCATCTCTGCACACTTGTTCTCATTAGACTCCTTAAGACACTGCAGTCCAGCTGTGACAGTGCACTAAATATATAGTGCCTGCCCACCCACACCCACCCAGCCAGCTCCAACCAGGGTTGGATTAGGACCTTCATTTATTTATATTTTTGGCCACAGCAGCACAGCATGCAGGATCTTAGTTCCCTGACCAGGGATCGAACCTATGCCCCCTGCAGGGGAAGCGTGGAATCCTAACCACTGAACTGCCAGGAAATTCCTGGATTAGGACCTTTAGAAACCCTGAACAGTGAAAAGTGGCTGGTGCCCCTCTCTTAGGTAGAAATGAAAATAAAATCATCATGCAGAAGTCAACCACATTACTGATTCTTCTCCATACTGACTGGTTTGCTGCTTTAAAAATATATTTATCAAATCCATTTTTTAAACTTATTTATGGTGCTACTCTGCTTTCTACTGCTCCAAGTTCACACTCAGTATCTCTGATTAATCCAGGTCTGCCTTGGCAGATCCAAATCCTACTTGCTGTTGAGGATTCTGCTCCTTTTATGAGCCAAAGTGGATAAACGAACGACTAACCTGAACAGTCCTGTCTGCTCCATGAGCCAGAGGGAAGACATTTTGTATTTCTTTTTGTGTGTGTTTTCCCCCTTCAGCACCTAAACAGCAGGAGAGTTGTAAGTCCTAGCTGACTTTAGGGTCCCTGCTTTTTGTCCCTTTGACCAGCAAGTGTTGTGAGCAGCCTCCCAGGGTGCTGAATATAATCATATAATCAGCCTCCTCTAATGTCTAGACCCATTTTTCAGAATCCTTTCAGTCAGCAGGTACCTACTGAGTGCTCACAGGAAATGACAGTTTCCCAGAGGTATAGGACTCTATGCATTAACAAAGACACCACAAGACAGGGGAGAATCATACCTCTAAGACACTGCTCCACAGGTTAAAAAAAAAAAAAGGCTCCTTTTAAAGTGAATCAATCAGGGCTCAATTTTTGAACATCATTTATAAACCCAGCCCCACCCAATGACACACACCTAAGACCTTTTAATAAATGTTTTAGCAGTGAAGATGTTCCTATTTAGAAATGACTTTCAAACCTCCAATGGAGTATCAGTGATATATTTGACCCACAAAAAATAATTCTTTGCAGCTGACATTTCTCCTGGGGAATAAACTGTGATCAGTGACTTGACGTGGTCCACAGGACCCTGCAGAGAGAGGTGTACACATTTTGGAACAACCATGTGAAGGACAGATACCAGCAAGTCATGGACATCTGTCCAGTAACTACCCCGTGGCCACATTTCAGATTAAGCCATGAAATCGCCCCACCCTCATCTCTCTTCTCTCCTAAGCACTTTAACCGACCTCCCCAGCAGGCTGACAACACAGCCCCTAAACTCACCCCCCATCAATGGGTTGGAAAGTAGCCTCATGTCCGGGGGCTTGCTGCCGTTTCTGCCCGGTGGTTCACCATCCATGGTGCTCTCCTGGGCTGGGCAAGCTCCACACTCCACTTCAGCTGTTCAGGAAAGTCCAAATTCCATGCTCCCCCGGCTCCTGGGAAATTCCAGGGCTGTGAGTGGCTGAGCGGCACCCTCCTGGTCAGATGGCAGAGAACAGGACAGGCAGGGTAATCTGAGTACTACCTGTGGTCAAACAGACACGCGCACACGGGGGCACACACACACACACACACACACACACACGCACGCGCTACCTAACAGGCTGGAGGCTGCCCAAAGCCCACAGCAGCCCCCCAGCCTAAAGTCTGCAAAGTTGCTGATGTCACGTCCTTTCCAAAACTGAGACCAATCAGTGAGGAAGCCTTGAGGTTTATCAGGAAGGAAACTCACAGTCTGTAACTTTGGGAGAGCCCAGGGAACAGGGTTGGGGGAGGAGACCGCTGGCCTGCTGCAACACTGTTCGCCTACTGGATCCACTTGTTGTTTGGGGGTTTCTTGTTGTTGAGACAAGCCCCAGAACCCAGGAGCTGAGAAAGCTGGTTTTGCTGCAGCCCTGCTGAATTGCTTGCACAGCAACTTAACACAGCACGCCCTGACCATCTGCACATGTGGTTTCAATTTTTCTGGGAGTTTCTTATGGGAAAATGTGTCTATATGTTACAAAAATGCACATTTGGAAAGAACTTCTAGTTTCTACCTTCTGACTGCAGGGGTTGCACTAAATGCCTGCTCACCCTCCTTCACACATTATATTTTAACTTCTAAATAAATAATTCAGGGTTGCTATTGGAAAAAAAAATGTATTGCTGGGCAGCAGGGGAGCCTGGAGGTGAGCTACTATCTTTCAATGATTAGTTATAAAAAGTTTTACTGTGTGGAGTTTTCCCCATTTGCCTTTACAAAACATTTGGGGTTTCATCCGTGTCTTTTTCAAATATACCCAGCTTCCCCATACCCTCGGGTGCTGGCTCAGGCTGATGGCCACCCCTGGATTTCCACTCCCTCTCCAAGTAGAAAGGGACTTTCCTTCCCCATTTGGGAAGGCTCTGAGTTAGTCTCAAGCATAGTCTGCTTGTGCAGTGATCACCGATTATTTTTAATGTCAAAGATACAGCCTTACTGTTTCAGATTCACCGAGCCTCAGTTGACCCATGTGGGAGCCACTGATTACAGTCTGAGGAATGTCCTGCATATTTTAAAGTGCATTTTCCTGCATACATGGGGATACACATTTATTGCTGTGCCTTTTCCACATGATTGTAATTATATTAACACAAACACTTTTTATACTTACTTTGTCTTGGGGATCTTTTCATTTCAGCAGAGTAACTCAATAGCTCTGTCCTTTTCTTTATTCACTACAGCAGAGCATTTCGTAAGTATTTCACACCAAAAGTATTTCATTATTCCCCTAATGATGGAGGCAGGGTGTTACCATTTTCTTTTACTACTGCAAAAATACTGCACTTCATAGATTTCTACATATGGCTTCATGCACATATTGAGACTGAGTTCCCCTTAAACTCTATTCCCCAAGTTTATGATTAACCTATTTGAAAGTGTATTCCCTTTCTTGTCCTGAACCTATGCCCCTAAAGACAGAAGACTATCAAAGAAAAGGGGTAACTGGAGCCCAACACATGCCCCTGTGTCCCTGTTCTTTTCAGTAAAAGGCTTTTTTGCTTTACTCTCCCAGGCCTCCCCAATCTGAATTAGTAAGTAGGAAATGTGAAGACTAGAAACAAAGAATAGCTGTTAGGCTGGGAAAACGGTAACAATTTAGACTATAAATCTGCCACATAGGGGACTAACTGAATTCTCAGTTCCCTAAAAGATACAAAGGTCTGACACACATGCCTAAGTTGTTTTTACAGGAAGCAGGCCCCCACCAGATGAAAACTGACCACAAGCATGTAGACCTCAGAGTGGTCAAAACGCAAAGGTTGATGATGCTTGAAACATCATCATGATGCTAACCAATCCAAGAACTGTGCACAAGCTCATCACACAACCTGAAGCTCCCTCACTCACAATGCCTTTAAAACCCCTCCCCTAAAGGCCATTGGAGAGTTTGGGCAGCATGAGCTGCCCATTCTCCTTGGTTGGTATTCTGTAATAAACGCTATACATTCCTTCATCACAACGCAGTGTCAATAGACTTTACCACATTGAGTGGACCCAGATTTGGCTCAGTGACAATATGCAATTATTTCCAGAGGTGAGATTACTAAGAGTGGACACACTGGGTCCAAGTTGTGCTCATACACATGTGATCTTTTCTACAGAACTAAAGACACACAGGAGTGGGTACAAGTCAAACGAGAATCACAAATGAGATCAATGGATGGTCTCAATGTTGATTTCCTGGTTGTGATATTGTACTACAGTTCTGCACAAAGTTATCATTGGGGGAAACTGGGCCAACCTATAGGAGCCCTTTCTGTATTATTTCTTGTAACTGCATATGAATCTACAATTATTAATCAGTTCACTTAAAATTTAAATACTGCCAAATTGCCACTCACCTAGAGCCAGACATCTTGGAATGTGAAGTCAAGTGGGCCTTAGGAAGCATCACTACAAACAAAGCTAGTGGAGGTGATGGAATTCCAGCTGACCTATTTAAAATCCTAAAAGATGATGCTGTTCAAGTGCTGCACTTAATATGTCAGCAAATTTAGAAAACTCAGCAGTGGCCACATGACTGAAAAAGGTCAGTTTTCATTCCAATCCCAAAGAAAGGAAATGCCAAAGAATGTTCAAACTACTGCACAATTGCACTCATCTCGCATGCTAGTAAAGTAATGCTCAAAGTTCTCCAAGCCAGGCTTCAGCAATACATGAACCGTGAACTTCCAGATATTCAAGCTGGTTTTAGAAAAGGCAGAGAAAATTGCCAACATCTGCTGGATCATTGAAAAAGCAAGAGAGTTCCAGAAACACATCTATTTCTGCTTTATTGACTATGTCAAAGCCTTTGACTGTGTGGATCACAATAAACTGTGGAAAATTCTGAAAGAGATGGGAATACCAGACCACCTGACCTGCCTCTTGAGAAACCTGTATGCAGGTCAGGAAGCAACAGTTAGAACTGGACATGGAACAACAGCCTGGTTCCAAATAGGAAAAGGAGTACGTCAAGGGGGTATATTGTCACCCTGCTTATTTAACTTATATGCAGAGTACATCATGCAAAATGCTGGGCTGGAAGAAGCACAAGCTAGAATCAAGATTTCCAGGAGAAATATCAATAACCTCAGATATGCAGATGACACCACCCTTATGGCAGAAAGTGAAGAAGAACTAAAGAACCTCTTGATGAAAGTGAAAGAGAGTGAAAAGGTTGGCTTAAAGCTCAACATTCAGAAAACTAAGATCATGGCATCCGGTCCCATCACTTCATGGCAGATAGATGGGGAAACAGTGGCTGACTTTATTTTGGGGGGTTCCAAAATCACTGCAGATGGTGATTGCAGCCATGAAATTAAGACACTTATTCCTTAGAAGGAAAGTTATGACCAACCTAGACAGCATATTAAAAAGCAGAGACATTACTTTGTCAACAAAGGTAAGTCTAGTCAAGGCTATGGTTTTTCCAGTAGTCATGTATGGATGTGAGAGTTGGACTAAAGAAAGCTGAGTGCCGAAGAATTGATGCTTTTGAACTGTGGTATTGGAGAAGACTCTTGAGAGTCCCTTGGACTGCAAGGAGATTCCACCGGTCCATCCTAAAGGAGATCAGTTCTGGGTGTTCATTGGAAGGACTGATGTTGAAGCTGAAATTCCAATACTTTGGCCACCTGATGCGAAGAGCTGACTCATTTGAAAAGACCATGATTCTGGGGAAGATTGAGAGCAGGAGGAGAAGGGGACGACAGAGGATGAGATGGTTGGATGGCATTACCGACTCAGTGGACACAAGTTTGGGTAAACTCCGTGAGTTGGTGATGGATAGGGAGGCCTGGCGTGCTGTGGTTCATGGGGTTGCAAAGAGTTGGACACGACTGACCGACTGAACTGAACTGAAATTGCCCTCCAGCTCTATTTGTAGAATTAACGGAGAATGCCATAAGCATGTATATATGGTTCATTTCTGTATCAGGAAACATCTGAAGAAAAATGAACCTTGTATTTGGCAGAGGGAGAAATTTACTCCCAGTGTAGACTGGCTGTCAAGGAGTTAAACAGACAGTGCAGCAGGAGAGCTGGAAAGCATCCCATTCTCTGAGCAAAATCTTCATTGTAAAGCTTTATTTACTTTTCATTAAATTCCAAGAAGATAATGTTTCTCTATGTTCAAAGTTAACTTGATTGTCCAAAACAACAATAAAGAAGATTTGAAGCTTGTTGCCTTAGCATCTGGGAAGGAATTAATCACCATTTTATCTTCTCATAATGCTGATCAACACCTGTGGATGCTGGAAGATGGGAACTGTTTGTTGTTGTTTTTTTTTTAAGCTGTTTAACAACAGTTCTAGTCAGGAATTAGAAAAATATTACGAGGGAAGTTGATGCATTTTTAAGGATCCACATGTGGATAGAGTTGAACTACATGTACATGAGCTTTCATTAAAGAGAAACAGCTTGGCTTACAAGAAGCCGCAAGAGCAAAACAATCTACCAGCTTTGAGTCGATCTCTGTTTCTGTCTGCATGTTTAGGAAACTCAGCCCAGGTTAGGTAAGAAAAAAGAATTATGGCCTGTAGCAGCAGTAAGGCCATAATCATTCTTTATCAAATGCAGACTTAACACTGGCCACTGACTCTGCCCCACCCCTCACCTGTAGATCTGTGGCTGACATCACTCATGGGATTCCAAGACTTTTCTCCTGCACCTTGGAGAGACTTGGAAGTCACCTTCAATCAGTCAAAGTCGGCCCCAGAGCTGAAACCTCTTGTCATTGCAGCCGGCAAGTTTTCCAGTACAAAACATTTAAAACCTAAAAGGTGCACCTCTCCTCTGGTCATTTGGTGTGATCTTCTTTTCCTGAACCAAGTCCTGTCTTAGTTGTGCCC